TGACGGCGTATTATCTGACTGAACAATCCCACAGATTGGCTACGTTCACACTGCAGGACTTGATGCTCAATGAGGATTTCTTTGTGACTTCCTTCACATTTCCAGTTAAACGCGACTTGTATGTGATCTGCTGTGTGAACTTCATACGCCTTATAGGAAAGTTGTCCACACGGTGTGTTGACATATGAGGAGTCAACATTACGGTTGGACGTTTCCACCTTGAAGCTGCAGTGTACTGATGACAGTCTCACAAACACACATTCAGACTTCTGGAGTGTCGCACACAACAACTGACCGATCCTGTCAGCTGGTAAGACATGTCCGATGAGTCCGATATTACAATGAGGCCAGGACTTCATAGATCTGCACCTTCTATAGGAACCAACAGCGTACAGAGTTACGTCTGAGCCATTTTAAGGCAGGAAGGGATTATTCTCATGGGGAAAAAAACTTTTAAGTATGCAAATTTAATCCACAAATATGAGTTGTAGGGAGTTGAAGAACGTGTGCACTGGGAGGACTTCAAACTTCTAGAAGTTCTGTGATTTGTATCCTCCTCGATGTCACAGTTAAGCAAACGTACGTCTGTTTGTGACGCATGTGTTTTTGTTCTCCTTTCGACTTTACAGCCAAATACTTATATACTAGATGAGCCAGATTTATCATTCTAGAAAACCAGAAAATGAAAGAGAAGCTTTATTTAATGCAAACTGTTCTATCTTCCTAAACCTGACCGTGTAGTTTTAGCACCTGAAGCTAACCTAAAGTTAATGGTCCCAACATGAGAAGTAAACCTCTGTTCACCGGGTGAACGTCCTGCTGCTGACTTCTGCATCTTTCCTCCCTCTTACCTCCAGACTTTGTGGTTCCTTCCAGCTGATAACCTTTCCTTCTACATCCCAGTCTTTTAGGGAGGAAAACTCACTGCATTCAGTAAGTGAATGAGAATGCAGTTAAGCTGTTTGTTAGAAGTAGGAGAGAATCAGTGTGAAGCCTTCAGGTATCATGATGTGATCGTGTTGTATGTAAAAGGTGTTTTAATCACATTAAAGGGGCATTCCACCTATTTGGAACATAAAGTTCACTTTACTTTGAAGTGTGAAAAATTAACCCAGTTGTATTTTAACGACGTCGTCCTTGTTGCCTACAGTTTGGTTAATGAGAGTTTTAACTGAAAGAATTATCTGTGAAGACTCTCAGTCCTCCAGGTCATGGTTGTTCTTGTAGATTAATCAACTGGACTTGCTTGAAGACGTTCCACCTCTCATCCAAGAGGCTTCATCAGGTCTGACTGACTAGTTGGGAGTTCCAGATACTGATATCCTTAAGGAGACATTAACTCCTGAGTTTGGGTTTTAATTGGGGGGTTGTTGCTCCTCGCCCTCGTTGGAAGGAAGATGAAACCACCTCGGAGTAACAACCCCCAACTGAAACCCAAACTCAGGTGTTAACGGCTCCTTAATAAGTATCTGGAACTCCCAACTCGTCAGTCAGAGCTGATGAAGCCTCTTGGATGAGAGGTGGAACGTCTTCAAGGAACTCAAGCAAGTCCAGTTGATTAATCTACGAGAACAACTGGAAGAGGGAGATGTGAAGGACGATGGAGCAGAGTTAGATTTAGGAAATATCAGATACAAAAGATTCGCATTTGTTGATTTCTGAAAGTTCAAACTTGTGCAGCATCAGAACGTTCTGATCATCCTGCACATAAACATGAAGCTTGACGGCTCTCATTCTCCAGCGCTGTGCAGGAGATCACAGCTGGTTTCTACCCCACACCGTCACATCCACACCGTAACCACTCAGCCTCCGCCAGCTTCACCCACCTGAGCACTTCGTTGGGGTTGCCTGAGATGGGGGTCTTCTTGTCGGGGGCTCCGTGGCACTCGGACTTGAGCAGGGTGTGCGGCCCGCGGTCCATCATCATGGTGGAGGTCGCCATGGTGATGATGGCCACGCCGTCGCGGACTCGGGCCTCGAGGCCGTAGTCCCACTCGTCGTAGGACACGGAGAGCAGGCCTGCAGAGAGGAGGAGAGGAGGTGAGGAAAGGAAGGTGAGAAGGGAAGGAGGAGAGTTGACTCTGAGGAGACAAAGCAGAGACAGACAGATGGAGGCGGCTAAAGCGGGGACGGGCTGGGATAACTCTGCCGGGTCTATAGAGTGTACATGTTCTGAACACACTCCAAGAGACAGAGCATACACGAGGCGCTGACTCAGAGAACAGATGAACAGCTCTCCGGTTCTGACTGCATAAGTGTCTATCACCTTGCCGTGTTTGTCCATCTGTCTGTGGAGAGCGCTGTCTGTCTCTGTTTGCTGGCCTCTGCACCGTCGGTACGTCTGTTTATCTGTCCTTCTGTCCGCCTCAATCCTCGTCTCTTTTGACAATCTGTCAGATGTTTATGAGCGTTTATTTGTAGGTCTCTGTCTGTCTGTCTGTCTGTCTGCCCTTCCAACGATCCGTCACGCCGTCCGTCTCTGCTGCTCGTTGTGATGCAGCGTCTAGCGAGCGTCCGACACTCGGAGCAGGACTTTGGCTTTAGTCATCCAGTCTTAGTTCGTTATTAATCCAAAACACATTTTAAAAACACAGACGAAAGCTACGAGACGACCTGATTGAAACTATTATGAATCTATTAAAGCCCAGCTGACATTCTGATAATGAGTTTAGCCGATATTAAAGCTCCGTTATTGACAACATCGTCCATAGTCGTGACATGATTAACTCGTGACAAATAGTCACCATTAATTGATGTTTATCTCTTTTTAATGACCGATCGTTTGGTTCATCAGGTGGGATCGTCCCCGGCCCGGCTCACGGGGGTTTAATTGTGCCGGATTAATTTCGTCACTTTGGATCGGACCGGTTTGTTGGCTCCGATCACATGCCGATATTAGAAGATTCTTTTAAACGATCAAAGGTCTGCGCCACCCGGTTAGCGGGGTAATTACACCAACACCCCCCGCGGAGCAGCGAGGAGCTCAGGACCGATGTGGAGCTCAGTTATTAACCATCGTCGAGTTATTTTCCCGCTAGTCAAGTAGATTTTTTTGTTAGTGCAGCTATTAGCTGTAACTGCTCGGCTGAACTAATTATCTATTTCAAATCAAAGTCAAAGCAATTAACAAATTACAAACGTCCTGCTGCGAATCAGGTTTTAAACTGTCATGTCAGCGGGTTCGCTGATTCGTCGCGTCCTCGTCATGTGACACTCTGGATGGTGTTTGATGCTCCATCACAACTCAATAAAACGTCTTCTCGTCTTGCAGCTCGTTTCATTTTTATTCATAATATTAAAACGTAACAAGGCTCGTTACTTCAATCCTGCAGCACACAAACAACGATCCGTCTTTGTTTCAGTATTTATCGTTCCGTTAGTTGTTCGTTTATGTCGGCAAAACATTAAAAAAAAAAAAGCTGAGGAGTGTTTCTAAAGATGTTGTCCTCAAATCTCCTGTTTTATGCAAAGATAGCGGTGGAAGGAAACCAAAACAAAAATAACAACAATAAAAAAACGTTCAGTTGATTAGCAAAATGGCAGGCAATTAATTTAACGGCTGACAACTAATTGATTAATTGATTAACTGTTGCAGCTCCAGCTGGTTTGCCATCAGACTGAGGTGACGTCACGCTGCGGTTCTTGGGTTTAAAAGCCGGACAGAACCACCGTGACATCCCCCGTTGGTCTGTGAAGCCTTGAGTTGGTCACCTGTAAGCAGGTGTGACTGGGAGTGGTGGATCTGGCTGTCAATCACAAGGTAGCCCCGCCCCCAAAACATGGCCTCCTTTAAACATTTTACAAAATAAACATCGTGCTGCTTTCAGAAAGTCTTCAGACTAGCGATACAGGCCATAAACTCATGAGGACAACGTGTGTGGAGAGCAGAATGTACATTTATAGTTCGATTGGGAGCATCTGTAACAGAAAGCAGTGGTTCTCAAACTGTGGGTCGAGGCCCCCATGGGGGTCCCAAGATCATTTCAGGGGGTCACCAGATCACTGTAAAAAATAAAAAATAAAATAAAGCCTACATCTATCAAATAAATGTGTGTGTACTTCTTCCCACTCCTTTTTCTAATTTGTTAATATTATGATTTAATTATATTATTATTCTTTTTTGCTCATTTTTAAAATTATTTTATTTTGTTTTTATATTTTTTCCCTTTCATATGTTGGAAATAAATTCAATTCATTCATTCAAAAGATAATTACTGTAAAGAGATGAATCTGTGGAATTAACACATGAATTTTTAACGAATTAATGCCTGAACAACAAACTTATTACTCATCAGATATTAAAAATTCAAACTGGGGGCTCATGAACACAAACTCATGTTGTCTTTGTGGGTCGTGGCTCAGAATCTTTGAGAACCTCTGTTCTAGAGGGATCAGTAAAACATTTCTGATTCTGATTCTGACTCCTTTCTGCACCGCGGTCGTCTGTCTCTGTGTTGGAACTGTGATGGACTGGATGTGGACTCTCAGTCAGCGGGGACAGACTCCAGGGCCCCCCCAGAGCCTCCAGAGGATCCAGCGTTGTACAGAAGATGGATGAAGCTTAGGAACAAGTCTGAGGTCCTTCATGTTAAGGTTTATGGTGAGGAGCCGTATTGTCTTTAAATATCATCTGGCAGGTGTGTGTTTGGAGCTAAACTACTGAACAAGAACCGTCCTGATCATCAGCAAATGAGTTCTGAAACAACCGGTGTGTGTTTTGGAGCCCATTAGACTCGTCCTGCGGGGTCACTCGGCGAAGCGATGTCCAGCTTTCAACTCAATTTATCTGCCCGTCCGTCTCTCTGTCTGCCATTTAATCTGTCCTCCTCTCCGTCCATCAGCCGATCTGCATCCCTCTGACAGCGTATGACCAACATGTCAGCCGCCCCGCTACCATGTCAGCGGGCAGAAATAGACAGGCAGCCTGGCAACCTGCCCTCCTCGCGGGGCTTCAGCGCTGACAGCTCCGGCCCTCCAGGACCACATCTAATGTCACACACTGTTGACACTTTCTCAGCGCTCACTCACTCACTCACTCACTCACTCACTCGCTCCCGTTGCTTTTTACACACTTCCACTTTTACTATTTCATGGGGAAGCTTCTTTCCCGGGAAGTTTCATGCACGTGTGTGATGCACCTGCAGGAGCTGCTGCATGGCGTTCCTCTCTCTGGACGTGTTTGAATGTCACAACACAGACACGTCAACGGTTAGAGCTGAGCAGCACCGAAGCAGCTGCACAGGCTGCTTTTTCTTTTTTGGTTTTCTCTGGCCAGTAAAGTGGCTTCTGTCTCTGTGGGTGCTGTGTCAGGCTGCGTCTCTGTCACAGATATGCACACAAAGGAAAAATCACAAAGATTCATAGTAGGTAAAGCGATCGGGCGACGTAGCAGCAGCAGCCGATATATTTTTAGCAGCGGCTTATTATTGTCGGTGATGTCAGATTTGGCGGTTACGGTGTGCAGCAGTAGTGAGAACAGAGACGGGTTGGTAGGAGAGAGAAGGAAAGAAAAGACGAAGAGGGACAGGATGAGCAGCGAGAGAAAGATTGAGAAACACAGAAAGCTGAAGGGGAGAGGCTGAAATAGTACGACGAGAACACAAAGAAGTGACGGCAAAAAAAAAATTAGAAATATCAGGAAGGAGAGGGGAGCGAGGAGGGGAGTGGGCGGAGGAACGGTTCCCCAGAGCGCTACTTAAGGAAGGCATCAGTGGAATTACCCAGGAGAATTGGAGGCTCTTCATCACACACGGTGCAAATTATTAAGTGTGCCTCGTAAGCAAATTAGCCCCACAGCTAGCGTGCACCTTCTCCTGAACCTTTGAACCGCTCGATTCAGCCACAGTGGCACGCTATAGGCCACTTTGTCGCTTCGCTGTGCAACACTTTAGACGCTCGTCTGACTCGTGTGGTTTTTGTCGCACACGACGAAGTTGAGACCAAAGAAAAGTGTCGGTTGAATAACTTAAAACTACAAATGTCATCTCAGTATCGAGACTTTTCTGTGATAGAAGATTCTTCCTGCTTATTTCAGGCCAGCGTTCAACTAAAGTCGACGCTTCCTCGTGACTAAAACATTTAGGTGTTAAAGTCTCTCCTAAAGTTGGTGCTACGCGATAGTGGGGAAAAAAAGATGTAATATTTAGTTATTCTGCCATATGTTGTAATATAAAAAATACAGGAATTTTAACCTTATGAGTTAAATATTATTTGGGAAAAACTGATTATTCCAGAATGATTTTGTAAGAGAGTGCATCAGCAAAAAAATAAAATAAAATAAAATAACAATAATAAATGAAATAAAATAAAATAAAATGTAAAATAATAATTTAAAAAAATGTAAAATAATAGTAAAATAAAATTTAAAATAATAATAAAACAAAATGTTAAAAAATAGCAATAGTAAATAAAATATAATAATAATAACACTGGTCCACACCCATTTTGGTGTCAAAGTTTTTTTGAGCTGATTTTGGACAATGTGCTGAATCCAAATATTACATTGGCTTTGCTTAATTAGGTCAAAATTTTGATTTGTCGCCACATGATGCAATTTACTTGTTTTTACCTTTACAGATGTTTACGCTCATCAACTTTTGGATCATTCAGCTTCTGAAAAGGATTAGGAAATGAAATTTTTCCTCTAAAATCTGATTTCATATGAGAAATATTAAAATAAATCAATCGCTGATGTCAAAACATGGAATCGATTTAGTGGTAAAATTGATTTTTTAAACTCAAGTTGGCAATAAAACCCGACCTGATGCAGAAAAGCAGACGTCATGTTTGGATTCAGCGTCGCAAAAATGTTCTAAATCAGTTAAAAACATCCTAGACACCTTCACAGAAGTATTGTTTTGTAACCCAGTGTAATAATAACAAGACTTTTTGAGGGTGAAGCCTTTTTAGAAAGTGCAAACGATGTGGGAACCGTTCTCATGTGCCGTAACACTGGCGTGCCTGGATGTCCCTCAGACTTTAAACTCCTCCTAAAAGCTTTGTGGTGCTGATTTAAACAATCAAACTCTACCAACAGAACTCCTGGTTTGGTCATCCTGCTTTCCATACGACTGGAGCTGCACCATTACGGCCAAAGTGATAATTATTTTGTCTGATATTGAGATGGCGCCAATTTATCACGATCATTCATCGACTTTAAAGACACAACATTTAACTGCCGCTCACCTCCATGGCGCTGTTGCTTCAGTGTTGGGCTACAGCGCTGAAATAAGGCGTTCTGATGTCCAATTTAAGGTGAAAACATCCGATTTGATCTACCTGGGCTGCTTCGATGAGCCCATAACATAAATACTTGAGCTGATTATTTATCTTTAGGAGGCAAAAATCACGACTCTGCTTATTATTCTGCTAAATGTGCAGCTACACAAGAAGCAGTTTTCTTTCTTAGAACCAGATTTCTCTCCTGTTTTATCCTCGTGTTGCTGCGTTTAAAGTTTTTAAATAAATTTGGGGATCCGATAAACCCTAAATCAGAGTAAACGATTAGTCTGTGAGCTGCGTCCTTTTTGTATAAACCAGAAAAATAAAAGACAGCTGACGTGATATATGCGGCTCGACACAAATTGCAAGTCTTTTATATGCTTTGCTAACTCATTCTGAAGCTGCTCTCCGTCCAGCTTTTACAGACTGCCACCGGTGAATCCAATCATCGTCTTCCTTTTATTGGCAGCACAGATCCTGCAGCAGCTCCGTCATCTGTACAGTCACACATGATCATACTGTGCACATATGTGAAATATCCTTTTTTTTTAAGTGACATATAACAGAAATGCTTTATCTGATATCGTAGGCGCTCCACTCTGAGCGACGTGTATTTTGGCACCTTCTACATCATCAGAACCAGACGATGACATTCAGCCTGATGTCTACGTGATTCATGATAATTCACCGTTAACCGAAGCAGGTTGGTGTTTGTCCATCAGCCTCTCCAATCACCCCGGCAGCGCACCGGCTCCACCCGATTATCTCCACGGCAACATAAATCAGGAGCGAAGTGATTTACATAAATGATTTGGTGATATATCAAAGTTTACAGAGTGGAACCCTCATTTAGAACCGAGACACACACGTGGTTCTGTTCATCCAGACCAACACCAAACACACACACACAACCCGTCTGATTGCTTCCACCCGTTATTTTCTCATGCAAATGAAACCCCCCGAACCAATCCCGCATTTCACAGACAGGCGCACGGCGACGCAAACACGGCAAAGTACAGCGCACACTCCTCGGCCCCGTTCGGAGTAAATCACCCGCGGATGCCGATACGGGAGCAGAGGCAAAAAAAAGTCTGAGTTACGGCGTCTCAGGAAAAGCATTTCCCAGAAACTGCTGAGGACAGGCGGCGGTGTAATATCTCCCCGTCACCGTAAATCAACGAGCCAAACGCCGGCAAATTATCAGGCTCGTACGTCCGGCGTAAATACGCCACCTGCTCCACGGTTGGCCCTCCCGCAGAGACGCCCCCCAAGTTGTGCAAAGTTCCATTAGTTAGCACGGCGGCGGCGGCGACATCGCTAACGGTTAAAGGCTTGTTTCCCACTGGGAGCTGGCCTTTCTAAAAGTGTCTCCACCCCCGAGTGCCCAAAGTCGCCTTACATGAGGCGGTGTGACAGGCGTACCTGTCAGAGCGCGTGAGCAGCCTGAGTGGTTAATGCAGCCCAACCTGGATGTCACTTTGTCTCCACGTTTGACCTTCAAAGGTTAGAATGACCTCCAGTGGTGCTGTGGGAGGAGAGCGGGGGAGACTCACTTCTTATTAGGAAAGGTCACTTTGTTTGCTTTGGGTTTTTTTTTTTCTTTTCTGGTCTTGCAAAGAAAATCCAAACCGAGAATGAAATTTGAAAAAAAAAAACAGAATTTCAAAGGCTCGGGATGGGCTCTGTGGTGCCAAGTAGGCCGAGAGTGAAGCAGTGACTAATGGAAACGGGTGATGTGTGCTCTTTATTACTTTATTACTGGTCCTGGTGATTGCCAAAGATAGACGGTTCAGCACCGGGTCACGTTTAGAAAAAAGAGAAAGTCTAAGGATGCTGTAGAGCAGAGCGACACCGGTACATATGATCCAGGAAACAGCTTCTATGTAACGAGCTGCGTGCGGTTTTCTGCTATTTATATGTGGATCATATCGAATTGTGCCGCCTGTTCAGAGGAAACCCAACACCGAGTCAACAAAGGAACGAGATTTAACTCATAGCTGACAACGTGGTAAATCAAACAGGTTATTAGAGCGATATATGACATTATTATAACAACAAATTGCATCGATCTAGACTCTCACGTTATCTTAACTGAACCCTTTTTGTAAGCAGGAAGTTGGCTAAAAGTTCTGAAAGCAGCTCCCCGTGTCCAAACCAAAGAGACGCTGATTGAAACACATCAGTCTGGGAAGAGCTCCAAAGACTCTGGGACGCCACTGATCCACGCCGACAGAGACATTATCTACAAATGAGTCGGAACAGCAGCGGATCCGTTCAGAAGTGGCCGACCTTGAGCTCGACGACAACTAAAAGATCCAAAGGGAAGATCGGAGGACCTGCAGGCGTCGCTCACCTCGGTACAGATCAGGGTTTGTGACAACATAAACCTAAAGACACTGGGAGAAAAACAGCACTGAAGGATGTTCCTCAGACCGGCGAGTCAAAAGTTCGACGTGTCCGGTTACGTTCCACAAAAGCAGCATTATGGTGAAGCCTGGAGGTGGCAGCATAACGTCTCTCTGCTGTAATTGAGGGGAAACTTAAATTCTGCTCTCTGGCAGAAAATCCTGAAGGAGATCATCCAGTCATCAGCGTGTGACCCGAGGCTCAACTGCAGCCGGAGAGCGATCCAACCGTATGAGCAAGTCCACCTCTGAATGGCTCCAGAGGAATAAAATTAAAGGTTTAGAGTGTCCCAGTCAAAGTCCAGCTGAGATACTGCAGAGGAATCCTGAAGAGAGCCGCTCATGCTCACAAAGCTGCAGAAAAGCAGTTCTTATAGTAAAAGCAAGTACAGTGATGTCAGAGACAAATCTCCAGTTCTTGGGAGTGTTAGGTTGGAGTTCAGGGACGCAAGTACAGTCCTGACTCGATAATCCGACCCTTAACAATCCTAAACCTGCTATCCGACAGGTTTTTAGGAAAAACCAACAGAACCCATAAAAACAGCCTTAACATAGCGACAGCCTTGGATTGTGACTCCGACATGACATTTAATGTCACCAATCAGGATGACGGCGTATTATCTGACTG